GAGTGATGGTGGTGGGTCCTACTGATGTGGGCAAGTCCACAGTGTGTCGACTGCTACTCAACTATGCAGTGCGTTTGGGCCGCCGTCCTACTTACGTGGAGCTGGATGTGGGTCAGGGCTCTGTGTCCATCCCTGGTACCATGGGGGCCCTCTACATTGAACGGCCAGCAGATGTGGAAGAAGGTTTCTCCATCCAGGCCCCTCTTGTGTATCATTTCGGCTCCACCACTCCTGGCACCAACATCAAGCTTTATAATAAGGTCAGAGCTGGAGCTAAGACAGGGTGAAGGGAAGAGTTAAGTCAGGGTAGGAAGTAGGTAATATTGCTACTTAGAACTGCAGAATTTTGCCGGGTGGTGGTGGCACATGGCCTTTAGGCTAGAGTTTTGTACTAAGACCCTGTCTCATAAAAGCAAAAAAAAGGGGGTGGGGGAGGGGCGGACTCGGGAGTGTGTGGCTTAGGATGTAGTTCACTTGCCAAGCACATTTCAAGGCTTTTGGTTGGACTCCCAGCCCTCTAAACAGGGTAGTGCCTATTACTCTAAAGAGAAAGTTAAGTAGGTGGATTTAGGAACTGGAGAGGTGGCTCAATGATTAAAAGCATTGGCTGCCTGCCCTTCCAGAGGACCAGGGTTTAATTCTCATGGTCCAAGCACCCACATGACAGCTTACAAGTGCCTGTAACTCCAATTCCAGGGGATCTGACACCCTCACATAGACATACATGCAGGCAAAACACCAAATCATAAGATAAAAATAAATAAATAAATAACATGGGCACATTTGTCTGGTTGTTGTTGTTGTTGTTCTCATTTTGATTCTTTTTCAGATTACATCACGTTTAGCCGATGTGTTCAACCAGAGGTGTGAAGTGAATAGAAGGGCTTCTGTGAGTGGCTGTGTCATTAACACCTGTGGCTGGGTCAAGGGCTCTGGTTACCAGGCCCTGGTGCATGCAGCTTCAGCCTTTGAAGTGGATGTGGTTGTGGTGCTGGATCAAGAACGACTGTACAATGAATTGAAAAGGGACCTGCCTCATTTTGTTCGAACTGTGTTGCTCCCAAAATCAGGGGGTGTGGTGGAACGCTCCAAGGACTTCCGGCGGGAATGTAGGGATGAGCGGATCCGCGAGTACTTCTATGGATTCCGAGGCTGCTTCTATCCTCATGCCTTCAATGTCAAATTTTCGGATGTGAAAATCTACAAAGTAGGGGCACCCACCATCCCAGACTCCTGTTTACCTCTGGGCATGTCTCAGGAAGACAATCAGCTCAAGTTAGTGCCCGTCACCCCTGGCAGAGATATGGTGCACCATCTCCTGAGTGTCAGCACTGCCGAGGGGACAGAGGAAAACCTCTCTGAGACAAGTGTGGCTGGATTCATTGTGGTGACCAGTGTGGACCTGGAACACCAGGTGTTTACTGTCCTGTCTCCAGCCCCTCGCCCACTGCC